CTGCATTACAGGAAGCTATGGTGTGCAGTCAAAGTGCAACAAAGGAGGGGCAGGATAACAACCTGTTGGTAGCCATGAAATAGGAAGTCTGTGCCAGATCCTTGCTTGCTGTAGAAGGGAGACAAAAAGGAAACAGAGAAAAACATAAAAGAAAAATTAGAATTGTTGCAGGCAAATGTAATTTAACTTTATGTTTAGCATTCTTATTCTAATTTCCAGTGCACATATTGAGCCAAGATTCAGACTGGGGAAGCAAATTATTATTGTTTATTCTGTTTTCACAAATTGAATTCACTTGTGCTAATGTTGCACATAAATTCCATTATTGTAGGACAACAAAGGATATTTCTAAAGAAGTTTAATGGCCAAAGTTATATTTTTTGTTCATTTATCTTATCAAAACTGGTCTCCAGTAAATGAGATCTTGGACCTCAATAAAACAGAATGTTTAAGTAAAGGTAAAATAAAAAAAAGTCATCGATTTTGTTGTAAGAAAATCATTGCAAGTTTCTGCAGTTTACGTTGAGAATCCTAAGCTAGAAAATTTAAAACATTGTAACAGCATTTCTGAATGTGATTCAGGAACATAAAATTGTGTGAAAGATGTCCAACAAGATGTGGATTTTAAATTGACATAAATCAAGACCGAAATATAAAAAAATACAATTATTTTCTTCGCCATCAATTTTAAAAACAAAGATTAACAATTTTTGACATAATTGTTGTTGAGTAAATAATTACTATGTGGACTCTACTTCAGGTCAGACTTAAATAACATCCTACTGAAGGCCACATGCTTTTCAGATATACACACTAATTTGAAAGAACTCAAAGGTTAAACTGTTTCAAAGCAATTAAGTCTCAGTTTTGGCCCAACAGGCACTGATGAACTTTCTGAGGAACAATATGTCACACAACAATCAATCAACTCAGATGATTAAAAACCATTGTGGTCATTAAACCATTTAATCAGCAAGGTTTTCACCCTCACCCCACCCACATCTGAGGTGGGGACAAACAAAAACAAAGAAGGAAGCCTCTACCTCGCACTAGCTGGGTACATTTCACCACATCAGTGTGTGGGTGATCAATAGTAATTTCAAAGCCTGGAACAAAATACATAACAGGTGAGATCAACACATACACAGTTGGGAGGTGACATGTCATTTAATGGCAGAAAAAAATAGACAAATGTTTTTCTATAGGCGGCCAACTAAATGTTTAATTAGTGGGAGAAAACCAATCAAAAGTGCCTCAACCAAATCCACAGAGGAGGACAAAATGTGTCAAAAGTAGCAGAAAAGAGCCCATACAGTTTTTGCAATATCATAAAATGTTTTAAGTCTTACAAACAAAGAAATTTCTCGGCTTGACTTCCAGAAAATGACATATCACCTTTACACAATGCATTTACAATATGACAATAATATGGTAACCACAGAGTAGATGATATAACATTGCAATCAAAAAGTTGATACACTGAAAAATAAATGATAATTAGACCCTTACTCGTTACCATTACCAAAGTTATAGAAAAAGCTCTCAAGTCATCCACTCCAGTCACCATTACTTACCCAGGGTCTGCAGCACAATGGATTCAAGTATCACCAGCTCTTGAGCTTGCTGGAGGTATGCCTGAAGTTTGATAGACAATCATTACAACACAATTGTAATGAGTCTATTAATTTATTTCCCTAACAAGTGATTTAAAATGGCCAAACAGCTCTACGGCTCGGTTTAGTCATAAAGTGAGCGGTGGTAATCAGTGGGTGCTTGGTACACACCAACTGCAAGCCAGGGCAGGAAAAATAAGACCCCTTAAATATGGCAGCAGAAAGTGGCACAGCCATTTATATAAAGGTGAAACCGTGACCACAGAGGAAAGACAAGGGGAGGGAGAAAAAAAAAGAAATAAAACAACTTTCAACCTTACAGTAACCCAAAATACCAGCACTTACGTTACTTTTTGTGTCTAGAGGAGATTCCTGTGGATTTAAGCAAGCATGTGCTACTTTAATTACATGCTCAAGCTTCCGGGGTTGCTCTTCCACTTTTGCAGCCAAAAATAGGGTGGTTGGAGATATTATCTGCAAAAGACAGCGACACACAAGAATATAGAACATAATGTGTACTCAAGCTGAAACAAGCCGACTGAATCATCATAACTTAGAACACTTACATTTCTATGGAATTTGGTGAAAGAATGTTGCATATAAAATCTATGCATGTAAACAATTGCTGTGTTTATTGTCAGTTGAGAACTGGATGTTATGTCAAGGAAAGTTTTGCTTAATGTTTGGCTAAGCAAGCAAAGTAAAGAACAATGAGTTAAATAATACATTTCCAAAATTAACCCTGGATTACAGAGGAGACTGTTAATCAGCAAATTCCTTTAAAATAATACATATTTTCTCAAACCAAAGCATTTTTCACACTTGAAAAAAGCAAGAACATTTAGTTAATAACTGATTATATTTAAGTAACTGCTGATCCATCTCTACATAATGTAAAATATACCACATGGTAGCTGAAACAACAGTCTTTGAAGAATTTGCCATTAGCAAGGAAACAAACTACATTCAGAACAGTGCAACCTTCCAATTAATCTATGATGGAAATGCAAAGAGTCATAAAGAACAGAGAAAGTGAGTCAACATGAGCATGTCCACTTTAGAAAATGTGGCAAATACTGTGCACCCATTCTCTCCTTTTTGAGGCCACTATGTAAGCTCGGTAAACAAGACTTACTTAATAATTGTGGGTCACAGTTTCAAGAATTTCTATGGCTGATATTGGGTAACCACAGCAAGAATATTACTGGCTGGATATTTCTATTTTTGTTAACAACAGTTAGGACATGCTAAGCTTTTGATCCACAAAACTGTTTCATTTCACTGAAAACAAGCACAATATGTTTTTACCAACACAATAGTCTGTTGATGTCTTTGCTATATTTAAACTGAAAAGCATGTAATTTGATGAGAATGGGCAAGTATTTTGAGCACAGGCAATATCCAGATTTTCTAAAAACATTTTCTTAAATATTTAAAATCTTAATTTCAGGGTCTATTTGTAATATTGAACTAAAAAAATATTAACAGTTTAATGATACAACACTTTATCTAACCACTAGAATGTCAAAAATATTCATTAAACAATGCTGAAAATTTTGTGAGCATACCTTAAAAAAATATTTTAATGCCACTTGAGATGTAAAATTTTGTTTGAGTTTACAACCTTTACAAATTTTGCAACAACAAAAAAGTCAGTGTTTCCCTGACTTCAGTGAGTGTCACATCTCCATGTCCACGTTGATGACACAACTTTATATTTTTGTTTGACCACATACACGAATTACTTTTTTGACAATGTAGAGAAACAGTACAGTGAAATTAAGAAACATGATTTACCCAGGGCTTTTTTTTGAGTCCAATAAAGCCAGAAACATAATTTCTGGCTGCTTCTCTGACTGAAACAAATATAACGGATTTTTTCAGGGACAGTAAACAGACATGTTTAAAACGTCACGAGTTTCTGGGAATAACCTAAATGAAATTAGTCTACCTGGGATTCAAAACCGGAATTTTGATGGGAAAAAAGACGTATTTCACAGGAGCAGTATTAGGATATTACGTAATCTGAACACGTGCGACAGGGCTGGACAGCAGTCTGAGAGAGGAGTAGATAAGACGAGGAGGAAAGTTTACAGCTGAGCCAAAGGTACAAAAAGTCCAATATCCTCGTTTGCTAAAGCAGTATTTTAAAAACACTCGTTAAATTATTTACATGTAAGCTGATAAACACATTTCGCTGCTTTAAAAATGGCTTACAACAAACACCCCGTTTTAATTTCACTGTCTCCACCGAAAAAAAAGCCAAACCCGTCTAGTGGCCTGACAGCTAGCATGTTGAACAGACGCAGATGAAATACCAAACAGTACGGCAAAGTTTCGACCTACAAGATTTAAAATATGACAAAATGCTACACTACAACGAGAACAAACATACTGAGCTAAAAAATTCAGACTTTAACCGTTAAACACATCCCTGCGTTACGGCCACTAATGGGCCCAACATAAACGGTTAGCCTCCGGTTTGCTCCAGAATAAACAAGTTTAAAGGATACACGTTGAGCCTTTGACCCATGTCCTGGATCAGATTCGCCGCTTGTTGTCGGTAGGAGAGCTCCCGGTCTGATTCTACTCCACATCGGCGGGACGGGGTGTTTTCCAGCTGCTCTCGGGTGAAATACCATTTCGACGAAGAACCCCGGCATGCCGCCATTACTCTGGAACGTTCACTTCGACATCGAGAAAACGGATGTGACGTCGTGTCTGCCCGAGAACTAGGAGCGATTTGGTGCTTTGCTGCCTCCTACTGCCCAAAAACTGATCAGCCGATATGGTGAAGACAGTTACACTAACAAAAAAAATCAATTAATGCAGCTCAAATTTGGGCTTCAGGCTCGACTCAATGCCATTTATTAGCAGCTGTGAGGTATTAAAGTCAAAAATTAAGTTATGTAAAATAATATAATATGCATGAAAGTTTATAGCTTTCTGCCTCTCCACACCCAACTAAGCACAACTCTGCTTCCCTGATGAGATTTATGTAGTCTTAAAAATATTTTGAGAAAACAATACCATTTTCACATCTTCAAACTGTGTAGAATAATTCTGTCCAGTTTTAGCTTTCTTGAGTCCAATAAAGCAGTAGAAATATTTATTTTTGTTCCTTTGCTTTACTTTCACAAATACAATAAGAAATTAGTGCTTTTCGTACATTAAAGAAAAATATGTGCTCCCAATAGCTATAAATCAAGTTTTTTAAATAATTTTAAAGTATTCTCTCTTCCATTTTAACATCTGGTTCCCAACAATAAAAGGAAAAAAAAAACAGTTATGAAATTGCAAGCATCTTCTTCAAACTTATTCTTCCTGCTGCAAAAGATACAAAAACAAAAAACTGCATTGAAAGAAAACCAGTAGGATCTGTGGAAATCTTGCCCAAAATAAGTTTATTTTTGCAGAACCACACTGGCTATGACAAATAGTTTAAGACTTCAAAAAAAAGTTTAACTTTTTAAAAACTTTTGAAAACTGATCAAACTTGCACATGTTATTATTTCTATAGTTAAAAACATTAGTCGATTCAGCATTTTTAGTCAGTCTTGTCAGCTGGCTTTGGAACCACAGTCTGCAAACTCTTGCTCTACTCAAACTGTTCTCGTTTTAGTCCCAAAAATTCGAGTGCATTTCCAGCAAGCAAGCTGTCCTGGAAGAAAAAAGGAAAGAAATCAATCTACAGATGTTATAAAATAGTATTTTAATTTCTTTAACTGACACTCATTTAGATCTTCCTTCTTATATTTGAAATATTTAGAAACGTCCTTTGAGTATTCGCTGTAATTTGCTTTGTACTGAAAATTATTCCCCACTTTCTATGTGTGAAAGAGTGTTCCATAAATTAAAAGAAGAAACATTTGAATACCTTCAGTTTTCCATCAAACTCATTCATTGACTCAATGAGTGACCCGGGTTCCAGCTCGCCAAGTGGGAATGGATAATCTGTTCCCAGCATTACTTTATCCTAGAAAACCAGTTCAATCAGGTTATATAGAAAAGAGTTCATAGTTTCATCCACACTGCATTAAGTTTTCTTAACAAAAAGTAATTTGTTTCTATCATTTATGATGTAATAACGCAAAGGAAGAGTATTTAGCTCTCCTCCCCTATTATTAGTCTTAAATATCAGGATAACTCAGTGCCAGGAGGAAATAACCCAAACACATTGAATTAGGTTCAAAATTAAACTGACTTCACTTTAATAACTAATAAAGTGTTATTTTTACTCTACACACTCAAAATTGATAATTGTATGTTTATGTTAATGGTGAAAAAAACAAAACATCTATAAGTTAATAAAATGAGAAGTTCAAACTTACTTTTCCAATAACATCAACAAGCAACTTCAGGGAGATTGGATCATGAACCAATGAGTCAGTGTAGAAAGAGCCCAGGTATTTACGCGGACTGATTGTGTTGTCAACTGCACACAGGTCAGGACGAACTTTGTGGCCGTGTTCGATTCGGCCAACAGTGAACGGAAAAGAGCCCCCTATGGACAAATAAACACATCACAGTCAAACAAAAGCACAGAGAGGCTCCTTTAATGCCAGACTAAGCACAAAGGAAATACTTAAAACATGGTACTTCGCTGTCTTATTCAGAGGTGATATTAATCTTATAAATAACAGAAAAATGCAAGCTATCTGTTGTACCTCCATGTGCAAAGCAGACTTTCAGCTTTGGAAACTTCTCAAAGATACCTCCAAATATCATTGAGCAAATAGCCATGGTTGTCTCGGTTGGCATACCTTTCAGACAGAGGAGAGCCATTAAAATGATAATAAAAAAAAACATACTGAGAATAACTTATAAAGGGTTTTAAATTCAGTGGAACATTGATTAGGCTGTGTCAAATAAACTGTCAAAATCCACTGTATAGAAATGCAGTGATAATGATTTGCAATGTTTTATCATTTACTAAAGTTATAATGGGTTGTTTCACATTGTTAACCAAACAATATCTCCTGTTTCTGCTCAATCTCCTCACCCACTAGCCAGGGTAGCCAATACTTAGCCATCCGCCCATCTGTCTGCATGTCCCATGGGTGGACAAAAATGGAGCAGCCCAGCTCCTCTGCTGCCTGCATGCAAGACACATACTGCAAAATCAGTAACAATGCTGCAAAAAAGGGGCAGTGAACACGGAAATAATATTTTCGGAGTGTGTTTTGATATTGTTTTATGTCTCACGGCATAGAAGGGGATGAGGTCCGAAGAGTTAAGGTCCCAGTTGTTAATGTGGGATCCGATCTGCACTCCAGGGAAGCCGAGTTCCTTCACACAGCGCCTCATTTCCAGCACTGCCAGGTCAGGGGCTTGCATGGGGAGCGTGCCTAGCCCCACAAACCTCTTTGGGTGACTGTGCACTGTCTGGGCCAAATCGTCGTTTAAAAGGACACAGAGGTCCAATGTGTCATGAGGTTTGGCCTACAGTTAAAAAAATGTTTTAGTAAAACTGGGAGACAGTGAAATCAAACAAGTTTGCAGTGACTTGCAAAAATACTCACAGCCCTGGAAAACATTGTAAAAGACCGTTTGACTTTGCGCAAAAGAATTAAAATTATAACCCCTTAAAATTTCACCATGTATTATTTTTCTTCTATTTCCATTATAATGCACTATTTTGTGTTGATAACAAATAATTCAGGTTTGTGATTAGATGAATACTTTTTCAGAAGGTGCTTAATGTGAAAGTGTTGTACAATCTGCTCCAGTTCTTTTACAAATATAAGAAGGAAATGTTCAGTTCTATTAGTAATGAGGAGCAACATCTACCTTTTAAAATAAATTCAGACAAAAACAGTGAGAACTGACCCAATAACTGAACATCACAGGAACCGTCGACAGGGCCTGAACGGTAACACCTGCGGATGATAAGAAGGAACATTATGGTCAAGAAAGATAAGGATGGGACAGGAACAAGTGCTGGGTCATTGATCCCTGTGAACACACCGTACTTGTCCATGTCTTTGATGCGAGCTTTCGCATCCCAGCAGTTTTCCTGAATCACCCGGAACAACTTTCCATCCTTCATCATGTTTGCTTCACCCTGAAACGCAGCATTAACATCACCTACAATTTGCTGTGTTAATTTAAGGTGGAGTATAACATGAAGTGCAGAGTTTTATGTTTCTGCATAGAGGTTGAGGATTCAACGTCGTTTTAAGTATGACCACACGATGGCAGCAGTGAGCTCATTCTTGAAACGCTCGTTCTCGAGGTGAATCTGCACCCAAAAATCTCTAGAATCCTACATCTTTAAACACAAAAACAAACGTGCATCACTTTGTCATTTTTGCTATTTTAAACAATTACAAATAAACAGTGATTTTCTGGTGAATAAAGTTTACCTTCCAGTTTGTACAGCAGCTTTCAGTGTTTTCTGTTGTGCTCAAAGTGAATCATTCAGTGATGCAGTGGCATCATGCTGTGTTCTGGCCAGCATGAGGGGTGGCTATGGTGGGGCGCTGCCAGTATGATCCTGCTTCGTTCTCAGCAAAGTAAGCATTTGAGCCTTGTCTCTGTGCCCTTGTTTTTTCTGTCTGCACATAAAAATGAGTGACTCACCTTGCAGTGATGCTGCAGCTGAACAAACCCATCGTAACCGTATCTCTGCAAGACAAACAAACATACGATTTACAACTTTATGACTGGTAATAATACAGTTGGAAAACACTTTAATACACACAGGCTTATTGAGAAGATTGCATCTGCTCATTTTGGGCATGAATGTCAAATTAGTTTTGGAGCTTTTTAGGACACAATGAATGTAACTGCCTGAAACAAAAATAATAATAATAAAAAAAAATGAAATGGGTCAGAATAAAATTTATTCTGAATCTTCTCTAATACATATTAGTTCAAAAAATGCCATACAAGATTATGTGGCTTCATAAAAAAACAGCATGCGATATGTCCAAAGAAAAAATTTATTAAACATTATTTGGATTCTATGTGTATTTGAGCCTGTCTGTATAATTTCATCCCTGTGTGGATTGTACTTGTAATTATTGCTTTTAAAGTGGACTGAAACAGAAAATACATCTCAAATATATTTTTAAAACACCCAAGTTATAGTGGCATTCATGCCCACTCTACTGTATGCTGTACGACGATATACGTTATCTTGACAAAAGATCAGTGTAAGAACAGGTTTAGTATGACTTGCACAGCTCCTCTGAAAGCCCTCATCGTTTGTCCCATCTGTAGAGGTTCAGTAGTCCTGCATCTGCTCCACCTTCTCAAAATAACTGCAAGTGAATGCCATCTGAGGCTGTTGATGCTTCTTACATACAAATGAAAGTGCAAGTGATCCATGTGAGCAGTGCAGCCAGTAAAGCTTCATTTGACATCAGTGCAGATCAACTGTGCACTTTTCTGAAGCCTCATTGGAAATGCATCTCCTCACAATCCAATATGTGAATATTTCCTTCTGTGTATAATAAAGTTTTGCATGTGCAGTTTAAAATAACGCTAAGTACAGTCTTTATGTTGATGTAAAGCAACATTTGAATGCATATTTATTGTTTTACAAGTTGTGTTTTTTAACATTTATAAACTATTGACACATTTACTACATAGCTGATTTTTATACAAATTTTACAATTGTTCTGTGCTTTTTTTTAAGGTTTTCTATATAATTTAAAATATTTTATGCTACTGTTGACATTGGTAGGTGGAGATAATTTAACACTAAGCATTTAAAAGAATACTAAGAAAGAAGGTTGAAAGAAAGAACAATAAAGATTATTGTGGATATTTTAGACAAAGCTGCAAACCATGATCTGTGGCCTGCACTTGTTGTAGCAAATCATTAGCAGAGGCAGTCAGACAGCGTAACAAAGATGTAAGAGCTGGAACAGATAAACCAAGGCCAGCGTTTATTGATTAAAGTTTAACTATCCACAGAGAGCACAGATTTATGGTGTGAGTTGTTAATCTCCTTGTAAAATGTCAGTGGGAAAACAAGATCAATTTTGAGTTCTTGGCATCTTAATTCAACCAATAACAGATGTGATACAGATACAAAAACAAATACACTAATTGGGATTTGAAATGCTCAGCATAAGACTTCTATAGCATATTTTGTGGATTTACTCACGTTGAGGCTTCAAGCTGTAAAACACTCCCTTGTGAGGTCATGTGTCAGAGCACCTACCTGCTTCAAGTCGGGCCATTCCTTTGGTAAAATATGATTATGAATATCAACCTTCATTCTTAAGGCTATTTCCCACACAAGCTACCTTTCAAAAACTGTGCTAATGCTCACTTCCTGCTCTGAGTTGGAAATCAATGACTGGCAGGTGAATGACTGCTGGAACAAGTTTGTCATTTATTACCTACTCCCAATCTACTTAAAGTCAAAGTATTTGTATGACTGAACTGTAGTTTGGGATGTATGATAATAAATTTATATCTTTACTACCACTAACAAAACTTAAAAACACTGTTTTCATTGCAGCAACAGATTAATTTCAATGTTGTAAAAGAAGCGTTTATTATTTTGTGGGGATTAATTTGTGTATTGGAATACACAGTCTTAATGTTTACATCCCTAAAAATTTCCTTGCTTTATATAAAATAAACAAATAAAAAAGAAACAAATAAAAACATAAAAACTACTAACCAAATTTATACATTTAATTGACAGGTTTGTAAACAGAGTATAATATTTAAAATGAAAAAAAAACATGTATATTGAGACTAGTGGTGAGAAAGTCACAGTATTCTGTTACACCTGTTATAGGTAGATTACTTTTACATGATGTCACAGTCTAATTTTTTTATTTACTTTCTTAGCCATTTATGCCACTGACCAACTATTATTAAAAACTATGACTGCTGCTTTTAGTGAGATTCTGTTCTGAACATTTAATGCAATTATTCAATAAAAAAAGAAAATAGGAAAAGTGCTAATAATTTGTTGCTATATTTATATTTAAAATCATTAAGTTAGCTGTCTAACTAACTAATAATTAGTTAGTTAATGACTTTAAGCTTAAGAGCCACATCTATTCTATCTACTTCATTTAAGTCTGTTTTTGGTACAGAAGTCCATGTATTTTCATGCTTATTCATGGGAGACTGTCCACATTTAACAACATTAATAACCATTGGTCTGTTAAAAACTGAGTAAATGAAGCCTTGTCACTAATAAATGTGTTATTTAACACTTCAGACGGCTACTCACTGACAGAGTAGTAGTTGATAGCAACTCACATGCTGTTCAGCCACTTAGTGGTTTTTTCATGTGCCTGATGCCGCCATCTCATTAGTGACGGCTATAAACTTCAAGAAACCAGAGCCAATGGATGAAAACAATCCTCACTTTATTTTGTGGGGAAATGTTTTCTGTCCTGTCCCTAGAAGTTTTAAAATAAATTTTCCAAGGATACAGAACGGAATTAGACAGGGACACGGTGTGTTTGCTGTTCTGCATCATCATTTCACGGCTTCTTATGAGATCACGGTTCACATTTAGTCCATGCTTTGTGAAATGTGGTCATTTTCTGATTTGTAGATAAACAACAAGCAGGAATGACTGCTGGGGTTCTCTTTGAAAACTTCTCTACTTATCTAAGATCTATGGATATGTTCAAATGATTTTTTATATAAAAATATAAAAAAAAGACCTTTAAAAATGTTCTGGTGAAAGCCAAATAAGGGGTTTAAAGATGTCTCAGAACAATTTTAAATCAGTTCGTTGTACTGTACAATAAGTCTTCAGGTAAAGGAGACTCATCTCACTTTGTTGGAAGTTAAACCAAACATCACTGAAAAGACGTGAACTTCTGTTGACATTGTCATTGCGGCATCTCCCTCCACTGGGTTACCACAGAACAATGGCCTCCTCATTTCCACAGACTTGGTAGATGTTTTAAGTTAGATACCCTTCTTGACACAACCACTGTTGTTGCCCTAAGAAAGAAATATGATTCAAAGAAAAAAAAAATGTGGGAGGTCCTAAGAAATTTCTTCTGGTGTAAACGGAAAAATTTCTTTCCACTGTTGCCACATGCTGCTTTTAGCTTTGCTTTCTTCCCAGATCTTTATGTAATCAACTGACTTAGATTGCACTGTATTTTAATTTGGATTAAACTGCACTGTATGTAACTGAATCACAATCATCATTATAAATGGAACTGATTCAAAAATTGATTTTGATTGATTGAATGCGGTTATCAAATTCTATTAACAGCCAAAGTTTTTATTGGCATGAGTTGGATTTAAATCTCAAGTCGCATAAATTTGCATTTTTCTCTTTTTTCACTAGATTTATCATTTGCTGTTTATTTGTTTCTTTTTCCCAGTTCTTGTTATTATTGTTGTGAAATCACAAAAATGCTAATTAGTTTTAGCTGCTGCTGGCATTAGCTTTTATTTAGAGAACTTGCAAATGAAAATGAAACTTGCCAACAAATAAAGCCATCCAATACTTCATCATGTGCAAATGTTCAAACTTGTTTCGTCCTTTTATGAATCTCAGTTTGTGGGGTAAATAGTTTTTTTCAGCATGTATTTTATGAAAAGTTCAAGAAAATCTTGACTATCCTGGATTAAATGAAATTTCTCATCCTTTCCTAATCTGAATAATTGAAACCAATTAAAGAGGCAGTTTGGTAGTCATAAAGACCTGCGGCATGATGAGGCTTAATACTTGGACTATCTTATCAGAAATAATTTATTACACTTTTTCTAGTGATGCACCTGACTGTGTGATGGAATCCAGTATTGGAGATTCAACCCTCTTGTTTTGACTTGAGGTGATGTTGAGGCTTCTGGAAGTGCCACCATTGTTCTTATCAGCAGGAACAGTATATTCTTAGAAGCATCACAATTTAAACCTGAAAAGATAATGGTTTAATATGTTGTTAAAAACCCCAAAATTAAACATATTAATGCCTCTGATTAAAAAAAATCAGACAGAGACTGTTTGTTGTTTTTTTGTCAAAGCAAAGTTCCTGCGGAGGCTGAGGACCATTTACATTAATAACACCTCAGGTAATAATATCACAGTTATACAATTTCACTTTCTGAAAACAGTGTGTAAATTTTCCACATTAATGTTCCAAAAAAAAACTATTTAAAAAAATCCAAATTATTATGTAATAAATCTAGATAACAAGACTTCAGTTTGTGAACTAAAACAATTAATATTTTGATTAAATTTAGCACATTTTGTTTGATTCTACCCAGATAAGGAGTTGTTTATGAGGCACAAACACCTCTTGGTTGGCTGTGCTCCATGCTGACTCTGTGTTTCCTGCTCATAGTTTGGTTAGGGCTCATATTTGTGCTGGTACATAAAACTCTCCCATCTGACTTACAGTTTGCAGGTGACTCGTGTACTGACACCGACAGACTTGGAGCCAGAAATATTAAACCAAAACATCATTTTAATTGTCTGGTCTTCCTATGCAAAATGACCCAAAGTAGATAATTACTTATTAGGGTTGAGTTCTGCCTCAGAACGGGAATCAGATGCTGAGTTATGAGAGGAGGAGAGAAGGAGGAAGAGGAGGAGGGGATCCAAGTTACTGGCACCGCCTGCCAGATTCACAGCAGATCTGAGCTTATCGCATCATCGCATCTAACCATAAATTACTGTTTCAGCCAGACAAGGGGGTCTTCACTGAACCTGCACGGCTGACATCTCAACGACGGAGTTACTTCTCTTCTCATGCTTTAGAGATAAACCCTTATTTTACCTCTTATTTTCTGTGATCACCATCTCTTCTCTCAATCTCTCTTCGGAGCCGGTGGCATATTGGCCGCGCTGGATGGCCGCTGCACCTAACGGACCGGTGTGAATAGTTTTCTTTCTTTATCCCCCCCTCCCCTCCATCCAGCCCCTTCTTCATTTTTCCTCTGACTCCAAGAGGCTGAGCACAAAACAGGAGCAGAAGCAATGGAAGACCAGGTGACCCAGGAGTCCTGCGCCGTCCCGGAGCCGACGGTTGTGGATCCCTGGCCGGCCACAGTGCGGAACGGCCAGTGCGCCGCGGATGGCTTCACCAACCACCAGCAGCAGCAAGCCAAGACCCCCACAGAGCCGGAGTCTTTCACAGTGAACCAGGAGATGAAGATTACTGACAATGTGGACGGAGAAGGTAACTTTTTATGTTTGGATGTTTAACTGGCTTTGAAAGTTGTTGGATTTCTGTTTGGGTGGGATGTCTGTGTTTGGGTGTGCGCGAGTGAGTGAGAGGCAGAGAGAGAGAGGGAGAGAGAGGGGGAGAAGAGCTGGTGGGGTTTAGGGGGCGAGGGGGGGCGTATGACGGAGACAAGATGGTTATTTTTATCCATGGCAGATATTTTCGGTGTACTCTTTGAATAATGTATGATAGTCAGACATCAGCAAGATTCACAGTGGAGCAGTTCTACACATGGAGTTTAAAGCTTTTAAAAAGATTTAATCTAGCATTTCATTCGTTCATTCATTCATTTTAGCTGTTTAAGTCAGATTTAGCCTAGGATGTGTAGACTGACAGGAACACGGCCCTAGCCGCAGCCTTCCCTTAAGGGTGGATTCTGGTACCAGTCACATGCACAGACCAACCCTCACACCTGCATTTGCATTTTCTCAACCCCTCTAGTGCATCTGCATTCATTCCTTATCTAACTGCAAACTACAATGTGTTATGAAGGGATTTAACGTGAGTCAACAACACAAAGCGGTGCATAATTATAAAGTGAAAGAAAAACAATGCATTGCCTTCGATTTTGTTTTCTTCAAATGAAAATCTTAGAATTGTGGCATGCATTTATATTTAGTCTCCTTTTACTCCTGTACCATTAAATAAAATCCAGTACAACCAGCTTTGCAGCTGGGATTTTCAGCTCCCCGAGCTGCAAAGAATTTTTACAAGCAGGTGAAATTTCCACAAATAATTTCAACAAAAGTGAATTTTTGCTGAACCACCACTAGGTGAGGTTCCACTGTTCTACTGGGGCTCATGGAATCTGTTGACATTATTGGGACGGGTAAATACAGGGCGTCCCTATAAAAATACCTGTCAGATTACAGTGGAGGTTCATCTTAGAGCAGAACAATGACCATCACCATAAAGCCAGAGTTGCAACAGAGTGATTTAAATTAAAATAGTCATGTGTTAGAATGGCCAGATCAAATTGTAGATTTAAATCCAACTTAGAATATTCTGCAATCTTTGAAAATTGATTACTTAAAGTTGATAAAGCTGCTGAAACATTGCTTAACTTCCACAAACCATTCTCTGTTTTATTTTTGCTACTAGAAAGATATGAATCTTAGTCTATCTGACACTGCACAGGAGACAGGGTACAGCTCTGACAGGCCACCGATCCATCAGATGCCTAAAAAGAAAAGCAAACCCTCAGATTTTCTTTATTTAGACTTCTAGCTTAGAAAAATATACTGCCTACTAAATCTAAGACATCTGAATTGACTGACTCTGCCCCATCATCTGCAGGATTTTCTCAGGCCTGTAGAGAAAACCCTGCTAGCCTAAACTTCATGGAGTATTTTATTGCTAAATATTAGAGACTTTGATTATAGTTTTAATGTATACATACCACCAGCTTTATCCAAGCTGAGAAACTCTACAAAATATATACTGTTCAGAAATATTTACCTCTGATCAATTGTTGCACAATATATGGGATATAAAAATATGGGAATTAAATACCACATTCTTGTTTAATAACATCCTAACCCATCCATCTGACTGTACTGTGATTTCGAAAACTACATCAAGCTACAGAGTTTTATTGTGTCAAACATTGGGATTACTTTACATTATCCTGTGAAGAGATCAAATCCAAATTCATTTATTGCAAAGAGATTTATTAGGAGAAAACTAATTTCCTCTGGAGTTTCACTCTGCTCGCTACCACCTCTGCCTGCTAGCCATCGTCTCTACATGCTATCTGTCATCTCTGCCAGTTAGACACCATCTCAGCTTACCACATTGTCAAAATTTCCCGAATTTCAAGAAGAAGTGAAGCGAGGACATTACTTTTGGTCAGATAAGTGACCAAAAGCCTTATTAGGTAATGTGCAACCAAAACCAGGTCCAATTTTAAATAACATTGAAATTCTGCAGTCGTTTCACTGTTCAACAGGTCCTACGCTTGCACATACGGTCCTACATGGGATCTTCAGCATAAAATGTTGAACAAATTCTTGTGCTGAAGATGTTCAATGTTGGAGCGTCTTCATATAGTGAAGAATATCTTTATGTTATGAAAATTTTCTTGAACATTTTGTGTTCAATGAGGAATGTTCTTCATCAACATGCAACATGGGGTGGGAAGGAAAGAATGATCTTTGTCTTATGTTGAAGATGTTCATTATGAAAGCATCTTCATAAAATGAAGAACACCCCCTCATGGGGGTGTTCTTCATTTTATGTTCACTGTAGTTTGGGAAGGATAGGATGTTCTTCAGCTTATTTTTTATATTCTCATCATAAGAACATCTTAGAAATTTGATACCTTATGTTGAACAGAAGATGCTCTTCATCTTGTGTTGAGGATGTTCAGCATAAGAACATCTTCAGGAGAACATAATTTTCTGAATATGTTCTTCATCTTATGTTGAACGTCTCATATAATTATGAGGCAACATAAGAGCTGATGTTAAATTGTTGTTCTATACTCCCAGCAATTTGACTAACAATATACAGTTGTAGTCAGACCACATTTGTTATGGTTTTTGTCTATGTATTTCACTCAATTGAAGGTATTTTTGTAACTTAAAGTAAAAAAAAAATGGTTATACAAGAAACAACAATGAGAAGACACATAAGAAAAAGAATCAGAAGTTATAGGTTTCATTATTTTTAATTGCCTTGTTTTTCTATGTGCTCCAGCAGTGTCAACAGTTTGGATGATGCAGCTTGTTTTCTTCTTTTCAGAAGACATTTTCTTTCTGAATGATAAACAATGATACACAGCACTGATTTAGCTTTATCCAAGGATGCATTGCCTTTATTAAAACATGTTCAAGCTTGATAAGAGGTTAAGGAATTGTTTGCTTTTGACCCCATGAGCTACTCAACAGGGACAATTCAGTTATTAGTGAAAATTAGGATAAAATTTAATAATGTGTGGATGGTAGACAGTTTTCACCCCCCCTAAAAAAAAAAAAAGCAAATAATGGCTGCATGAGCAGCTATTGAGCAGGCAGCTGGCAGATTAAGTTAGTTTTATGAATGTGGTGTGCTTTGAGATGTAACCAGAGCTGTTACACAAAAAAACAGTAATCAAAGTGACCTGGACAGCCCACATCTATCGGCTGGTACAACTGCTGGCTGCTATGGAGATTCTGGGTGCAGGTTGTTGTCCTACTGCTGGGGGTTAAAGTTCTTCCAGTGCTTTTTGATTGTCTTCATCTCCAGGGAGATGCTTAGTTTTATAACAAGAGAAACTATTTCATCTCTCTCAATATTATTTAGATGTTACATTACTTGCTAGCTATCCTATGTTCTGTAATTTTCTAACTAAAGGAAGGAACATATTGGGATGTTTTGTAGCTCCACACTTGTCTGACTGGTTTTGTCCTGTTTTCGTGGTTCCACTAACAATGTGCGATACAAATTTCAGGAGATAATGATAGCCAACAGCATTAAAATCTCCTGGATGTAAAAGTTCAAGCTCTTGAATAATTCATGACTCTGCAGAGCCATCCTCACATTTCATGACACGGAGCTGCCGGCTGTTAAAAATCTGGGCTATTTAGTCTGTGACTTCAAGCAAGGACTTTTCTCAAACACAATAGGTGGACAAAGCGATTCAAAAATTCATCCAATTTATTTTTGAAAATTATTCTTCCTTAGTTAAATCTTGTTTACTATAGTATACTGTTCAAGTAAAGTTTTTCAGGTAAAAGATAATGAATTTTGATACAAAGTGGGCCTGGGAACAGAATGGGCTTCATATATAGGAGCCCCTTGGGTTGACTAAGTACTACTGATATTGGGAAAACCATTTAAGCACCATATGTGCAGTCATGAATATTTTGTGTGGACACACCATAAGGTATTAAGTTCTTCCAAAGAAAATTTTCAAAAGTTGATGTCCAATTTTTATTTTCACCAATTCATTGCTGGGAAAGAAAACAGAATATCAACATAAAAGCATTTTCTGTTTTAGGAAAATGTTATCTCTACCATTTGAAACACAATAACTCAATGCTTTTTGTGGCCATCTAGCAGTCTAAGGAAATGTTGCCCTGCCGGTAAATTTTTCATGCTGGATTTACTGGTGTGTTTTGAATCACTGTCATATTGCAGGATTAATCTTACTTGAGCTACTTGAGCTAGTCAGGCTGGACCAAAAAATCCCAAAACTATAATATTTCCAGACCATTTCTCAGTTGGCATGAGATCATTTTGATGGAAAGTTGCTTTTGACGTCTCTCAAACACATTATGAACAAATGTTAAAATAGAGAACAAATCAGAACCAACATAACAGAGCTTCTCCAACATGCTGCCACTATAAGCAGTTTAGAAAATGCTAAAAACATTTCTTTCTTGCATTTTTACAAAAGAAAAAGAGATATATATTTCCATATATGTTTATATGGAAACAAGAGAAACTATTTCATCTCTCTCAATATTATTTAGATATAATATTGTATTATATTATAATATTATTTAGATATAATATTGTACTCATATATATTTCCATATATGTTTATATGGAAATATATACTTCCATATATGAGATACAGAGGAACACATCCTGTAACATTTTAATTGGACAATGGGTGTCTGCTTGATCTCAGAAGGGTGTTGTCACAAATTAACCTGCTACTAAAGTGTAACCTTTGGACATTTTCAGTACTATCAAACTGTCAGTCAATCAAATGAACATTTTTTAAGATAAAGCCCCGCTCCCACAAACAAACGTTCTTTCTTATATGAAGGAGATGGATAGATTGAATCATTTCTTACATTTCCTGAGGGTGCCTGAGATGATCACAAAGTGACAGAAAACAATAATGACTCTCTTGAACACAAAAAGAGGCATACATTGTTTATATATGTTTTCTCTTTGTAGGTCTTCTTGAGAGCAGCATGCGCCTGAAGCCCCACGAGGCTCAGAACTACAGGAAGAAAGCTCTCTGGGTCTCCTGGGTCTCCATTGTGGTCACACTTATCCTGGCTGTGGCAGCTTTCAGTAAGCATTTAAAACAAATGTTATTTAAACCTCTTGTAAGAGCACATATGGAGCCATAATGTGACTCTGCTGGATATTTATGTTCAACAGTAATTAGTTTTTAGGAGCAGATGATTTCCCAATTCCCATTTGATAAAAAAAAAGACTGTTTTATCCAAATGTGCTTTATTTTGGTTTCAAAACTGGTCTGTATATTGTCTTAAAGTAGGAGATATGTTGTATTAGAGCATCTAGGAAGAAAAAGTATTTTTGGGTCAACCCAGTTTTAATACCAGAGATGAGAAGTCTGAATAACGGTAGGTTTCAAATGATTATTTGATGCATAAAGGCAAAAACAACCTGATGGCCTAGTCAAAGATCAGAATTAAACTGAAACACTATGACCTGAAACACTGTTTATTCTTCAAAAATACTTCAGTGTTGCTGCATTAAGCAATTCTGCACAGAATAATCTGCCAAAACCTGACGAAGGGAGCAAACCCCCCACCCCATAATACCAGGTTGGCTTGGATGGTGTTTTTCTTTTGAAAAAAGAAAATAATAATTTGAAAAACTCTGTTTATCCTAGTCAGATATTTAAAAAAATCTTGTTTGATTTGATAGACCAGTTTCAGGTAGTTGGGTCTGGATATAAATCTGGGTTCATCTAAATGTTCTGGCAGAGAACTGAAAAAGTTTAATGCAACAGTTTGTCTGGAGCCTTCTGATTATTAGCTTGCTAATGAATTGTCCCAGGAAGATTTTCTTTAAACATTTGCAGCAACAACTACATTATTACAATTATTACAATTGTTTACAAAATTACCTCTTATTTGTTTGGTTTTGAATTAGATTTAGTCTCGTCTTCTGTAAAATCTTGCTCTGTTTTTGTCATGGGTTTGGTCTTGAGTACAACACCAGCATAAGATGGAGTGTGTGTTGATATGTGTGTGTCATAAGAACCTAAGATGGCAAAGAGCATGTGCTTTTATTCGCATTGACGCAATGAAGGTCATCTGATGACATATCATATCTGTCTTTAAGCTGATAATATGCCAGGGCGTAAAACATCGAGTTAAAATTTCACAACTTTGTTACAAAACAGTAGAACGAAAAACATTAGCATATTTCTGTATCAGACAGTTCTGCTGGAGGAAACTGAAGCTTTAAGTGAAATGTTAAACTACAACCAGAAAACAAAGCAAGATTTTTCTACCATAAAAAACGATTATAGTGAGTTCTTTCTTTTTCCCTTTTCAGTTCTTTTAATCTATTTTCAATTGTAGTTTGATCTGATCAGAGAATTGTTTGACATTAGGAACTTGAAATGTATCTCACTAACCCTACCTATCCTTTAATCTATTGTACATATAAATTTTTTTTGTATCACTTCTTCATATTCTTCCAGATAGAGTTGAGTTTTGCTTTAGGCGTTTTTTTTGCTCTGCACAGTAACTCAGTGATCATATGGATGTTGTGACAGGAAGCAGCAGGCAGCAATTTCAACATATTCAGTTGCCTTGTGATGTCCGGAGAAAAAAGGAAAAAAGAAATGCAACTTTGTAGTCATGGGTAAGAATCATGACAAGATATAAGAGGTATTAGAAGATATGAAGCTAAGAGAAGAGTGTAAAGAGTAAGGGGGTACCCAATTTTAAATAGTGTTTTTGATATGATGTGACAATCTGGGTATATTTAACAAAACAGCATTAAAATTCTTAGATTCACCATTGGCTGATTCAGCCTAACACTGCATTTATTTGAATATTTTAAGTGAAACAGAAAGTCTGTTTCTGGGATCATTTTAAATAAGAGAACGCTCTATAAATTAGGATGCATAAGACATGAAACGCCTGCAAAACTACTCCGAAGTGTTGAAAGGCAGAATCTTGACTCAGACAATGAGAAATCATACAAGTTTTTCTTTTTTTTTACAGAAATAATTATAGAATTTATAAGTTACTGAAACACATACAGTCATCTGAGTTCCTGCTTTGAACAGTATGTTTTTTTAGATCTAGGTTGTTTGCTTGTGCAAATTTATGTGGCTCTCAACTGACCTATGCTGTGTTTGCACATGTAAACTAAAGACTGCAGATACATTACTTTTAAGAAGTTTAAACTGCATCAGGTTGAATTAATGTGTATACATAAACCAGTTTCCGAATTTCAACAAACAAACTTAAGGAGATTTTATATTCCTTAAAATTAAGAATGTCTTTTCAGGACAATACAAACTCTAAGCTTCATATTACTACTTAAAAAGGTACAAAAAGATTACAAAGGAACAAACACTTAAACAACACTAATTAAACCTGAGGATTGTCATGAGTTTCTCAGAAAAAACGAGAAATTGATTGGTTACTTCTAATTCCTAACACTGTTTCAAGATGGAAAAAAAGAGAATATGTTATTCCCAGAAACCACTTTATGATTTGTCTAAACCAACATCTGTGGGTTTCTGTGGACAACCAGTTCCATCATCTGCATGGGTGAAATGAAATTAGGCTATACCAGTTTCACTCAGCAAGATATGCACAAAGCCAATGAAATGAACACATAATAAACTATGTGACCATCTCAATCTCTAACTCAAGAGATACAACTTTGATTAAATTCCTTTTGTTCTTGTAATCAGAAAGACTTTTCTTGATAATAATAATTTAATAATTTAAAAGTAACAACTGAAGACTGAAGTCTTTTATATACATCACAAATGACAAGATCATTTTCCACTTATCTGAGAATTGGTCGCAAATTCAAGACAGAAAGCCTGAAAACCATGTTTTGGAGCGACACTCTCCAGTTTATTCTAGAAGATTTCAATGGGTTTCTGCTCATTGGGAAATATGCTGAGGTTTTGTTCTGCATAGACTCATTTTTATGTGTCTATATAGTAGACAATGACTAGATCATCGGACATTTCTTTAATGTTTCAGATGCGAAAGCAGATAGGAAATGGTTGCATTGTTGTTATTTTCTGGCTAAATAAGTCTGGTATGAGATGGCGCTTGGCAACATGATCGAAACCCCAAGGAGAGCTCTTTCCAATGAAACTGATGCAGACAGAAAGACCTTAGAAGAACATGAAAAGGAAACAGACAGGAAAACAGAGAAAGAGAATGAATGGAGGTGTAAATATGCCCTCCTCAGCGATTCACAACTGCAGAGCTGAGAGGATGAGACGGGGCATCGAGTGAGTCAAGTAAAATATTAAACCCACTCTTTCTTGTTCTGTTGCCACACTGCATGGAGTTGAAGAGACGCTGTTCATGTGAAGAACAGAGGGAAAGAAGAATGTGGGAGTTGGCAGAGTGAGAGACAGATGGATGTAAAGGAGGGAAGCGCTGAAAGGTACCATTACACCAGAGGATGAGCAGGACAGGGCAGGATGAGTCCCGGCATGCGGCATCAGGGACTTGGTGATGGCTCAACTTTAAAGAACACCAACATTCTGTTTCCTCCTGCTTTCGCCCTAGTTTCCTTTTGCCTTTGAGTCTCTCCATCTTCCATCTTTCCATCCTTTTTAATTATTTCCCCATTTTCAACTTTCTTGCCGGTTTTCCCATGTGTTTTCTCCTTCTTCCCTTCTGTGTTTCACTAAGCTCACATAAAAAAAAGCTGTCCAATATGTACATCTTATCCTCTTTGCCGCAAGTAGACAGGTTTTAATAAAAGCAGGCTAAGTGTCAAGGTCTCCTTATATTTCCGATTCTGTTTTTGCCAGCCTTTTTTTATGATTCTCTCTTCGTCTCTCTTTTCTGTCTGTCTCAGAGGAAACAAACTCTCAGCTGATCTATAACCTTTAGCAGAATTTTAAGAATTCAGAAGGGAGGCGGGTTCAAGCCAGTCCTCCCGTGCTCCATTTTCGGATGTGTCGAGTGTCTCGGTCATGAATGGCTGCTCTGTGTTAGCTTGTGACATTTGTGAATGAGCTGTCCTCTGTGGTTCACCTGTAAAAGTGGTACAAGTTTGTTAAAGCTTATCAGACATCTTGGGCTCAGAGAGGGAGTCGAGAACTCACTTACATCTTGTTAAGAGCTGTAGTGTGGTTTTTCAGTGTCTTATGGGAAATACATTACACTTCAAAAATGTAATAGTTGTGTCAAGTGACGGCATGTAGACTTTACCATTTAAAATTATTTTTACAAATTTGCAATAATCTGAAGATATCTTTGTTTTAGGTATTTAATGCACCTTCTAATGAGCAAATTGTATATGTGACCTCCTTTTGTTTTTAAAATCGACTTAAATCCTTGATTTAAAAACGTGTTTGAAATATTCTGTAAAGATTTTGGTTGATATTGACATGCATTGGCCTCTAAGATATGAGATATGAATCCCCGATTCCACCACACCCTAAAGGTGCTCCATTTGTTTGAAATCTGGTGACAATTGAGACTATTGACACTGAACTCATTGTCTTGTCTTATTGGTAGAAGTAACCATCACCTAAACTACTGATATAAGACAGTATAACCCCATTCTTTAATGATTTTTATGCTATATTCAGATTCTAATTCTGACCCTATCATATGAATATTGTAACCCACCAGTTTCTGTCCTATTTTGAAGAACCTGTGTAAACTGAAGACTCAGTTTCATGATCCTAGCTAACAAGAATTAGGCAATATATTTTGCTTGCCTTGGTTGTTTGAGAAAATGCTTTTCTATCATCTTGAATCAGTCTATTCAATCTTCTTTGACCTTTGATATCAACAATGCATTTTTGTTCACACAAAAGCTGCTCATTTTATCTTTTTCAGATCATTCTCTGTAACCGACAGACATAGTTGTGTGCGAAAAATCCCAGAAGATCAGTAGCATCTGAAAAACTCATAATAGCCTATCTGGGATAAACAGTCGTGTTTTGTTCTAAGTCACTTAAATCTCTTTTCTTCCTCATTCTACAGATTGTCTTCACCACATCTAGATGCACTGAGTTGCTTCCATGTGGTTGAATGATTCCCTTTTTGTGTTAACAAGCAACTTTCTATAAAAGGAGAATAGAGAAAGTGAAA